TTCCGTTACGATATTGGACATTTCGATATGTCGATGTTTCTTCAGGCAGTCCAAATTTGGAACAAAGATCTTGATGCAATGGAACTTCCATGTGGCCTTGTTGCCCCCACTCTTCTTGACTATGTAGTCATTACAAACCTTAAATCTATTGGAGAGAAGCATTTTTTTTTACAATATTTCTTTCTAACAATGAACTCAAGACACAAATTAGATGGAATCGAAAAGTTTATGGTCACTTTTTCTAGGAGCACTTTGTCGATCATCCTGACATAGCTATCACCATTGAAGAACATATTGTTTTCCTTGTGTATTGGCTTTGTATACAAGATTTTTGCCCTTGTTTGATCCAAATTTCTCACCATTACTTCAATCTCGCATATGTTTTATACACCTCATATTGTTTGGCCAAGCTACTCTAAGTCCACGTTTATGCAACTTTCTCAGATGTTGTGGATGCATTGTGATCAAATCAACCTAACGACAATCTCTTTGGATCCTTGTGATTCATTCAACTTTAGTTAGTAATGATCCATGAATCTCTGTTCCCTCCAACTTCAATCTCCTTGAGGTCAGTTCCCTCCTTTTCCGTGGAAGGTGTTAGGTTAACTGCTCAACACCCTTAACTGTGCAAAGCTAGTGAAGCTCAATACAAGACCTTTTTAATTTTTTTTTTAACAAAATAGGATTTCATTATCTTTCTTGCCCCCTTCTCCAACATCGACAATAGTATAGAGAATGTTCGAGGCTTCCCTTGGTTGAGGTAAAGATTTCCAACAACAATTCCAAGACTACAAGCAAAATTGTTCGAATTTTGAAATGGTTTTCTTACCTAGGATGTTTTAGTGAATGGCTTCCAATTCAAGGATGTTAACTTTTTCCCTATATCCCTCAAAATTTCTCTCAAATAATTTGGTTTTAGCCAAGCGTTTCTAACATATTTATTCCATCAGGCCATCCTAGCGGACATCGCCTTCAATGAATTGAACATAAAGAAGGAGCTTATTCGATTCACCCCACAAGAAGTTATTGAGTTCCACCCTACTCCAATCGAAGTCAATTTTTTGTGTACCTTTGAATTTTATTCATGATGGGACCAATGGTACACCTCAACTCACCCATCCTTTGATGAAATAAAACCAAGGTTGAATAGTGATCCTACTTTCAAGGTGCAGAACAAATTGAAGGCCAATAAATGTAAACACAACCATTACCTTCAAAGTATATAATTTGAGCAATTTTATCAACAACGTTATAATCCTTTTTCAGTCTCGAGTTAACTTTATTTTGGATTTTTTTATTTTTAGTTTGTTCTTCAATCAAGATCCTCGATTATAAGGTTAAGACAACAGAAACTGAAATTACATAGTTTGTACCACCATCTCCCAAAATTAAAAAAAAAAAAGATCCATGAATCTATCCCAAGTCCGGTATGACCAACTCTTATAGTGTTTTTAACAGTATCATTTTCTTCTAATGTTGGATTTTTCGGCTAACATGTATGTAAACTTTTGTTCTCATATTTAGAAGAAATCCAAATCGAAAGCTACACTCTACACTAACTTCAACTCCTACACCTAGGTATTTATGACTTAGAATTATGATAGGAAAATATCTGTATAATAAATGATTATATAACTCTCGATCTAATTTATTGCAAGGATCAACACCTTCGACCACGAACATTCCTCATCCTATGCCCACAACTATCATAGACTCTGAATCTGATAGTGATGAGGTGCAACTCTCTCGATGCCTTTTGAAACAAAGTTGGGTAATTAATCACTTCCTATGTATATTTCCTCTTTACTCATTTTTAACTCATTCCATAACATGTTAAAAGAGTTATCTTATTCTCAGTTGGATATCTTGACCAATATTTCGAGTAATCTAAATTCCCTACTCAATGTCTCCACGATACGTGTTCTTCCTTCTTCCTCCCTGTCGAGGTACTTATTTTGCTACTTATATGATTTTAAATCTCTCAATCCTACATGTTATTATTTGTCATTTTCTTTATCTTTTACATTTTTTATAGGAAACTTCCATTGTAGAGACAACATCTAATCCAATTGATCCATAAATCAAAATTCCTGTCTAAGGCAATTCTTAAACTTTCACATTTCCCATCACCTCTTGATTTACTCGTTATGTGTTCTCCAAATGATACTTGTATTTTATGAACTCATCATTTCATTTTTATAGAATGTCTTATGCAACCTACCACAACCCAATCGTCAGAGCCTAATCCGCATGATATCGATCTTGATATAGTAAACACTTCTTGTCAACTATCAATAAGAAATAAAATTGCACTTCTAGAATAGATAAAGAAAAATCCATTCAAAATCCTTAAGTTAATGATGATTCACATGGCATATTTTCACACTGTCGGGACTCCCTTCTTTGTATTTTTAATTGGTTTCAATGTGTTATGCCTAGTAAACAAATTTTAAATATTCATTTATACTTTGCCTTTGGAAATATCCATTTATACAACTCATAAAAAGAAGGATTTCCAAGAGATCTTGGACAAGATCCATTTTATCCCACCTAAACAACTCCTGCTTGGTCTTGATAAAGAAATTATGGTTGTGATCCCTATGTTCAATGAAATTTTGACCTCGAGCAACAATTTTTTTATCTTAAACAACATTTCGAGTCTCAAGATCCAAAGTTGAGGAACTTTCTAAATCTGACAATACTTTTGCAATGGAATCCTCAAACTTAATCTCCTTATCAAAGAAAGCCACCTTAAATTTGAGAAACGACATGGCTACACTTGCAAAAACTAGGAAACAACATTGCTAAATTCAATCAATTTCGATTAGAGCAAAATGCATAGACTTTGTATTTGTAAATTATTATCATTTTGTCTAACTTTTCATTTAGCAACCTTCCCGTTTTGTCCTTATCTCAATTATATGTGATAGGATCTAAATGCCTTTAAGTATTTCCCATTAATCCAGAATCTTGATTGTCCATTGTAATAATTAACAATAATAATGACATTATTAGATAACACTTTAACAATCTCGAAAGGTCTTTTCCAATTCAAAGACCATTTTCCAAAACGCAAAAGTAACTTTCTTAAGCAAAATAACTTTCTACACAATATCTCCTCTTTTAAAGCACTTATTCCTTATTCGTTTATTGTATAATCTAACAATTTGATTTTTCTGATGCAATATATGCTCTAAAACATTAATTATGACTTCGTCTAATTCTTTCAATTCATCAAACATAATATCCCAATAATTTGATCAAGGCAAATTGTTCTGTCTTTGAATTCAAACTGATTGTATATAAATTTTGATAAATAATACTGCATTATGACCATAAATTAGCTTGTATGGAGTCATTTAGAATCTTTCGGAGAATTCCTATAAGACCATAACACCTGAAGAAATGTCTTATGTCAATTTTTAGGTTTATCCATGCCTTTTAATTAAATTTATCAAAATTTTATTAATTGCCTCCACTTGTCCATTCACCTATACATAATAAGGAGTCAATACCAAAAGTTTGATATTTATCGACTCAACATAGTCAAAATTTTGCTTCCAGTAAATACTATTCCTTGATTTGTGAATATCCACTCAGGAATTATAAATCGATATATAATATGTTCTTCAATGAAATCGATTACATCTTTCTTATCGACGTCTTTTAATGACACAACTTCAACCCATTTAGTAAAATAATCGATGGTTACTATCCCTTTAACTTCCTCGATTAACCCTTTCTTGACAGATATCTTGTCTTTCTCGATTTCTCTAAGTTCATATATCTTGATTAATTCTTTTCGATATCTTCTTTGTTCTTTCTCGATTTCTATATGTCTTCAATTCACACTTAAATTATCCGCTTCTGTCAATATGTTTCTTGATTTCCCATCCAATTATGATAAAATTTTGATTCTTTGATCTTCAACTATCTTGTCTCTTTCTCAATTTTCCTTTCGATTATCATGAACCATTGATTATTTGATTTTTTATCCTCCCAACCACCTTGCTTTTGTCTCAATTTTCCTTTTAATTATTATGAAGTTTTAATTATTTGATTCTTCAATTTGTACTTTGATCACTTGTTTCATTCAATATCAACTTTTTTATACATTTCTTGATTGACTACTCGATTTACTTACATTCTTGATTTGTAATCATTATTTATCTTCAACATTTCGATCTCGATTTTCACCGCCTTAATCACGATCTCTATTTTTATCCTCTTGATCTTTTATCATCTTGATATCGATTTTTATCTTATCATTTTACCTTCGATCTTAAGTTTTATCATCAATCTCAATTTTTTCCATCTCAATCTTCATTTTTCATTTTTAACTTCAATATCTTTTTCTAACAATTTTTTTATATATGTATAAATTTGCCAAGTATGATTAAAAATTGTTCAAATATGAAATGTGTTTGTTTCTATCTATTTGATGAATTAAAATTATAATGTAAGTTTAGGACATTTTGACCTTGAATTATTTGTTGATCTACAGCTCACATGGCATCATACAAATGCCAATAGGATCCACATGTCTTGATGAGTGGTAATCTTGCAAAATATGTCACATATAACACATACAATGAAAATGCAATTCATCTATTTTTAAACAATCTTCTTAATTTTAATATTTATACATAGTATATTGTCATCTTCATTTGTGGTTAGACTATACATTTGCGCGCAATTGTGAAAATGTTCACACATTTAAAATCATGAAAAACAAATTAATAGAAACAAAAATTTTAATTGGAAATATTTTTTGGTTGGAGGAAATGGTGAGGAAAGTAAACTTGGAGTGTGGTGGGGCCAGTTTGAGACAAGAGAGTTGAGTTGACCAAGTCTTGAAGTCGGATTCGCAAGTGGCCTCCGAGACTGAGTCTGACTTTCCCCTCTCTCATTGCCATTCACTTCCTCGAATTCTCCTTCAGACTCCAACCCAATCGCAAAACCGAACCAAAACCCAATCCTCACCCTTCCCTCTCTTCAACATGTCTCTCAAATCGTCCAATTCGTCGCAGAATCTCATGCTCCCCGTCTCCGATCCTCCCAACCACCAAGACGGTTACGCCGACGACAAGCTCTTCAAAGGCTCCGCCATGACCAAACGCGGAGCCTTCGCCGCCGTCTCTTACATGTCCTGCGCCGGTACCTTTCTTCTCAACTCCGCAACTCTCTTTCATTTTCAATTGCTTCGTAAATTCATGATATCCTCTTTTCATGTGTAGTTCTGCTGGTGATGTTCAATAAAGCAGCGCTTTCGTCTTATAATTTCCCCTCCGCGAATGTCATCACACTTCTTCAGGTTTTATGCTTACATCTTCGTGATTTCTATCCGTACTACAGTTTTTCATCTGTTATATTGGTAATAGTCTCCAAATTGGTGAACATAAGAGCATTGTGGTGATATATTTATTATATGCCCTAAATTTTTTAGTTTATCAGTGAGGTGAATGGCATGGACATGCTTACAAGTAGCTGTCACTTATAATCTAATAGTGGTTCATGTTACCAATAAGGTACGGTGCAGTGGATAGATAATTAGGTTCCTTGAACATGTTGTTAGGGTTTTAATTCTTGGCTATGTGTATGGAGAAGACTTTGTTGGAGGGAACCTATTTTGGTGATATATTTGTCGAAAGGAATTAATTCATGAGCATTGGTTGGGGATATCCGTGGTGAATACCAAAAGCTATTGGTTCGTGTTTGTGGTATGACGAAACTTTTAAAATATATGGTGTGGGAGGATAGAGTATATTCAATGTTTTAAATTTTGGTTGCTATAGCAGACATTCCAAAAACCTTAGGGGACGTTTGATTTGAGTATTTTATGTTTCCATATCTAAAGAAAATAGAAAATAAAGTTAATAATAATAAAGATTAAAAACCTTTATATTTGGAATTTTATTCAAAGGCATGCCAAAATATGAATATTAAAAATGTTGTTTTCTTATTTTTTTGTTCTTATCACAAACAACCATTAAAGCCTGTCATTAATGCTATCAGACTCCCACCAAGCCTACACTTCCTCCCAACCTGCTAACGGTTCAGTCATCAACTTTGGAATCATAGGTGACGTTTGAGATGACACCGCCATCCAACAGACATAAATTCCTGCCTGGAGGCTAGCTGATGCCATGTCATGTTTCTGACATCAGGGACTTGATGACAACGGTGGTCTTGACGTTGGGAAAGACACTGGACGTGGAGGTGGGCAGCCTGGGGGAGGAGGAGTTGAGTCAAACCAGAGATGAATATGAAAACATGACGTAAAACCAAAAATGTTTTTCTGAACCAAAAACAATATATGAAAATAGAAAATGTTTTTCATACCAAATGCTCCCTTAATTTTGTGGCCGAAACTGCAGTTGCGGACCATTTTTCAAAACCTTTATTATATGCATATGCATGAGCAATGGAATCTGTAGTAAATAAGTCTTGGGATAAAAACTATTCTATAAGGCTTTAACTGCAAGTTTCCAACGAATTTCCATATACTGTATGAAGAAAGCAAAAGTACCTAAAGAGAGCACACAATTTTAAGCAGAGAAGTAACATTTTGTTTAATTGGTTACCATACCAAAGAAAACAGTATTTTAAGCTAGTATTATAATTTTATTTGCTCATAGCAATAGTTAAGAGAGTAAAAAGAGTGAAAAGAAGATTTCTAATTTTGTGGGATACCTTACTTCACTTTATGATCTCATATATATATAGGATTACAACATTTAAAACAACAACCACCAACTACTAACTACTAACCACCAACTACTAACTACTAACCACTAACCACTAACCACTAACCACTAACTAATAATAATTGTAACACTCCCCCTCAAGCTGGAGCATACAAATTGTATGTACCAAGCTTAGAACAAATAAATTCAATTCGAGGTCTTCTTAAAGACTTTGTCAACACATCTGCAAGTTGATCATTGGACCCGACAAATTCAATGCAAATTTCTTTAGACAACAATTTTTCACGAATAAAATGACAATCAAGTTCTATATGTTTGGTCCTTTCATGGAACACCGGATTAGAGGCAATGTGGAGAGCTGCTTGATTGTCACAATACATCTTCATCTGTTGGATCTCACAAAATTTCAGTTCTTGAAGGAATTGTTTCACCCACACTAGTTCACAAGTGAGAGATACCATTGCTCTATATTCAGCTTCAACACTAGACCGGGCCACTACATTTTGTTTCTTACTTTTCCAAGAAATAATATTGCCTCCAATGAGAACACAATATCCTCGTAGTGGAGCGTCTGTCCATAGGGGATCCAGCCCAATCGGCATCACAATACCCGGATATTTGGGTACCCGCTTTATCTTCATACAACAGACCTTGTCCCGGAGCTTTTTTGAGATATTTTAGGATGTGAACGACAACATTCCAATGATCGAGTACGTGGATTTTGCATAAATTGACTCACAACTCCAACGACAAAAGATAGGTCAGTGTCGGTAATGGTGAGATAAATGAGTTTCCCAACAAGTCTTCTATATCTCTCAGGATCGAGAGCGGTTCACCTTGATCCGCCATTAATTTCCGATTTGGATCCATAGGGTTATTTACTTGGTCTACAATCAATCATGTCTATTTCTTTCAGGATATCTAAAGCATACTTTCTTTGGGAGACTACGATGCCTTCTTTTGATTGAGCCACTTCAATCCCTAGAAAGTATTTGAGACAACCAAGATCCTTAGTTTGGAAGTGATTGCATAAATGTTTCTTTAGCAAATAAATTTTATCAACATCATCCCCTGTAATGACTATATCATCTACATATACAATTAAATAAACACATTTTCTCGAAGCAATATAATAAAAAACAGAATGATCTCGCTTCACTTCGTTTTAATCCAAAACTTTGAACAATGTGACTAAACTTTCCAAACCAAGCACGTGGAGATTGTTTGAGACCATAGAGAGAACGATGTAACTTACAAACCAAACTAGATTCCCCCTGAGCAACAAAACCAGGAGGTTGCTCCATATAAATTTCCTCCTCAAGATCACCATGCAAGAAAGCATTCTTGATATCTAACTGATGAAGAGGCCAATGACGGATAGCTGCCATAGCAAAGAAAAGTCGAACAGTAGTCATTTTGGCCACAGGAGAAAAAGTATCACTGTAGTCAAGGCCATAGATCTGAGTATAGCCTTTTGCTACTAATCTAGCTTTGAGTCGATCAACTTCACCTTTTGGTCCAACTTTAATGGCATAGACCCAACGACAACCAACAGTCTTCTTCCCATGTGGAAGAGGAATTAAGTTCCATGTACCATTGTGCTCAAGAGCCTGCATTTCATCAATCATGGCTTGTCGCCATCCAGGATGATCAAGTGCCTCTTTCACATTTTTTGGAATAGTAATAGTGGATACAGAAGAAACAAAAGAAAAATAGGAAGGAGACAATCTATGGTAGCTAAGAAAATTGTAAATGGGATGTGGATTACGAGTAGAGCGAATACCTTTGCGAATGACAATGGGTCAACTTGAGTCATCATTATCAGGAATCGTGGTATCAGGGGATGATTGAGAAGGATCTGCTGAGGAAGACTCATCTTGGGACATGGGACTGATCATTTGGCTCCTGTGTTGATAGGTAATAAGAGGCAGTGATGAGGATTCCGGTGTATTTTGTGTGGAATTTTGGGTGTCGGGAGGAGGAGGTACAAATGGCTCCACTAAGGGTATAGGTAGGACATTTTGGATCGAACTAATATCCTGCATAGAAGAAAGGAAGAAGGGAGTTGACTCAAAAAAAGTGATATTAGCGAGACATGTAGTACCTCTTGGTTTCGGGAGAATAACATCGATATCCTTTTTGAAGACGAGAATATCCCAAGAAGACACATTTGATGGCTCTAGGCGATAGTTTATCTAAACCTGGAGACATATCATGAACAAAACATACGCAACCAAATACACGAGGAGAAACATGAAAGAGTGGGTCTTTTGGCAATAGAATAGAGTGTGGAACTTTATTGTTAAGAGAAGAAGATGACATTCGTTAATGAGAAAACATGCGATAAGAATAGCATCTCCCCAATGATGAACGGGCATATTTCCACCAAGTAATAAGGTACGAGCAGTTTCAACCAAATGTCTATTTTTTCGTTCTGCTATACCATTTTGTTGTGGTGTGTGAGGACAAGTAGGCTGGTGTAAAATGCCTTGGGAGCTTAAGAGAGTGGAGAAATCGAGTAGAAAAGTATTCTTTGGCATTATCACTTCGTAAAACTTTGATTACTTTTCCAAATTGATTTTTGATTTCGTGAAGGAAAGACTTAAAGATAGGTAATAATTCGGAACGGTCTTTCATTAGATAAATCCAAGTACACCTCGAAAACTCATCAATGAAGGTAACAAAATATCTATAGCCAAAGGATGAGACACGACTAGGACCCCAAATATCGGAATGAACAAGAGAAAAGACGAGAATCACATCTAGATTCGAACGTTTAGGAAAAGAGGACCTAGTATGTTTCCCTAGTTGACATGATTCACATTCAAAATCTTGAAGAGTTTGAAGTTCGGGAACCATTTTTTTTAATCTTGATAAGTGAGGGTGCCCTAACCGTTCGTGTAATAGTTTTGGAGACAAGGATGCAACACAAGATACAGATGATTTAGTCCCAAGGTTAGTATAAGCCTCTAGATTCATGTCCTTCGCCAATCTGTCGACCCGTACCACGTTCCTGTATAACAAAAGAGTTGGCATTAAAGGTTACTGAACAATTCAATAATTTGGTTAATTGACTTAGGGAAATGAGGCTGAAGGGACATGAAGGAACAAAAAGAACAAATTTTAAGTTTAAAGACGGAGAAATGGAGACTTGACCAGTTCCTTTAGAGGCTACTTTAGATCCGTTGGCTAAGGTTATGAGATGAGGAGTTTTAGGAAATGAGAGAGAAGAGAACAAAGAGGCATTACCGAGACATGTGATCGAAGCACTCGAGTCAATAATCCATGGATTTTGACTTTCCACAGATTGTGAAATGTAAGTTGTTGATGAATTTGGGGTTGTTGATGACTGTGCTAGATTATCTGGATTTCAACCTCAAATATTCCTGATATTCTTCGTGAGAGAACTTGGGTTCAACCATTTTAGATTTGGAAAAATTGACAGTTTTATCAGGAAAACCATGCAAAGAGTAGCAATTTTCTACTATATGACTCATTCTCTTGCAATGAGTGCACTGAGGACGTCCTCTACCTCCACGTCCTCCTCTAGTGCCGCGACTTCCTCTTCCACGGGTAGAAATCATAGCAGAAGATTCAACAAGTTCTTGATTACTTTTTCCTTTGAGAGTTGGAACACGAAGCAATCTTGTAGTCAAACTTTCCATAGAATGAACTTCTTGTCCAGTTAAAATTTGATCTCTAACATGATCAAATTCTGAATTCATAGCTCGGAGAGTCATAACCATATAAAATTTATCCAACTTTTGCTTTATCTCCTCTAACGAATCCACCTCTAGGAACATCTTTAATTCTTCAACTGTTGATTGAGCTTCAGCAATAAAGGTCATCATATCTTTATCCACTTGCTTGAGAGAGGCTAATCGATTAGCGGAATCATAGAGGCGTTGGATATCATTTGCAAAGATATTCTGAGCTTTTTTTCCAGAAAGAGTTACATGTTTTGAAGGATCTGAGAGTGTTCAAAATATTTGGTTTTACTGATTGCCACAGTAGAGCACAAAGTTGATAATCAAGCTTTTTCCATTGTTGAGCCTGATCTTCTGGTATCTAACTTCCGTCTTCTTCTAGATGATCGTGAAACCCTTGTCCAAGGAACCAAAGTTCCACTGAAGAGGACCAAGACATGTAATTTTTTCCATTTAATTTCTCAGCGGTTATCGTGGGAGTTCCGGAAAAGGAGGTTGTGGGCCCTGACGACATGTTTTAAATAATGTAGATGTAAAATGGAGACAATGGAACCTGTAAGAAAGAGAACACCCAAGATAGCCGAAAGGTTACTGGAAGGTGGTCGGAAAGTCGTCGAACGGCAGCAAAGAAAAAGGTGACTGGACGGTTGCCGAAAAGTGGCCGGAAAATGGTCGGCCGGTGACCGGAAATGGTCGGACGGTGGCCGGACAGGCAGAGTAGGACCAACCTGCTCTGATACCAAGTTAAGAGAGTAAAGAGAGTGAAAAGAAAATTTCTAATTTTGTGGGATACATTACTCCACTCTATGATCTCATATATATATATATATATAGGATTACAACATTTAAAACAACAACCACCAACTACTAACAACCACTAACCACCAACTACTAACCACTAACCAGTAACTAATAATAATTCTAAC